TTTTGCAGAGGAAAAGAGCTTTCAAATTCCCTTAACGAAGCAAAAGAGCTTTCATGGTGCGAAATTTGTACCAAAAATGAAGGTGTCGACAACCGGTAAATACGTCACAAACAATTTCTTCCAGGTATGCAAAAACCACCCCTTTTTCATCCCCCGTGATTGATTTCATACAAACAAAATCGTTCACGTCATGTTATATGAATCCTTAAACAGGTGCGGAAAAGCTGGGAGTTTTGAAAAGTTCGTCCTTTTTTACCTTATTGCCATACCTTGCGAATCACATGCCAAAGAAAGGATTAGGTCAGCAGAGAGAGGATTAGGTCAGCAAAGAGAGCAAGAGACTCTCTCCTCTCTCTACTCATTTTTGCGGCTCAATATGAGCAAAATAATATACGTTCACACTTACTATTCCTCGATTTTGATCATCCATTTAATATTACCAGCTAGTTAGAGCTCTCAACACAAAAACTATAATTTTAATTGACTAATGAATGGATTCTCCTGAAGATTTACCAGCTTTCATGGCTTTCTTTTATTGGATTATTTACAAAATAAGGTTTGCTCCTTGCGGATACATTCAGAGGCCCCGGCAGCATGTTGCCGGAGAATGAAGTGTTTACTTTTAAATACCCTGTAGAAAGAAAAACGGCACCGAGCGATATGTACATATTCATATGTTTTTGTCACATATCTATTGGTTTATTTGAATAAATGTTGCAAGTGGGTGGAGAATACATTTACATAAATTTGTACATAAATACATCCAACAAGTTCTGATAAATTTCCATTGCCCAAAAGATATGATATGGTGGTTCTTGCCAAAAACGAAAAGTCATTCTCGGAGCAGTCCAAACGAGTTTCATTCCAAGGGGATTTGGCGGGGATTTCAAATGTTTGCTGACTTCGACTTTTTGTCAATGAATTTTTGTCTTCTATTCTTCTCTCCCCCTGTGTATCTCCGGTCCATTGTAATCCGAGAATTACCAAAATTGCCTTTCCGCACTATTAATTACCAAGGTTCGGCACTTTGCTTTTCGACAGCTGCCAGGATCCAGGATCCGTTGCCATCGCTACCACCCACCCATTAAACAGGAGACAAACACACTTCCGGGAAACAAAATCAGCTAAAATGTAACCAAAACAAAAAGCTACGAGTATGATAAATGTTATGCGTAGATCTACTACCCCTTGGGCAATGCACCCCTCCACAACCCATCAGAATTGTCCATTACACTTTACCCCATTTCTAGTCCTGCCTGGGTCAGGATAAAGGATAAATGTGGAAATGCATTTGCCCATCAAGTGCAGGCGGGCCAATAAATTCATTAATAAATGGAAAAGTGAAAAGCGCAGCAACTTTGCGTGTTTCCCCGCCCATCCTGCTGCTTGAGTTCTTTGTTATCCTTGTGGTCTGGGGTGCCGGGTGCTGGGTCCTGGACTGCGCATAAAGCCTTTGAAAAGTTCTGCAATGTCAGGCAGGCGCCACTCGCTTCACTGTCCATTCCCCCAATGGAGCGCCCATTCCCAGTACTTGAATAATGGATATTGAAATCGCATCGAGTTTAAAGGAGAGTGTGAGAAATTGTACTTTATACCGATTAATGCTGCCGTGTTGGAGGACAAAACCCCTGACCATTGATTTGATTGCCGGGCAAATGGTCCTCTTCCTGTGATGCTGCCAGCCAGACACCTCCCAGCCCCAGTCCTTTGGCAGCCTGTTGCCCACGTCCGAGTCTGGTCGCTCCTTTGTTCTGCCAGCCATTCATCTCGGTTGCTCTTGTTTGCATTCTGTGTTTTCTTTTGGGTTTTAGGGTGTTTGCCATTGTCTATCGTATGCACCGGCAATGGGACTTGGACCCATAAACCGGGACCCGGGTGTGCTGAGTTTATTTTAGTTGGAACCAGACGAAAAAAGGAAAAAAATCAAGGCGCCTCAGCATCATAAAGTATTTAGTGCGACAGAGATACCGGGATACCGGACACCCGGCACGTTTCCCACAGCCAAACATGTGCACCCTGATGACTGCTGACAATATTCCTATTTTATTTGCGGATATCCCCATAAAGATGAACCGAAGGAGGAACTTAACCGCCGTCTGGCACTTGCTTATTCTCGGGTAATTGGGCCAACTATAAGTAGAAGAGCGTCCCAAATATCTGCGTCTAATTTAAGAACTCAAAGTGACGCATCTTCGCGGGACATAAATCTCTTGAAATGAGCCGTATATGTTCTAGGGGATAACAGAACGCACTCACAATGTTGCAATTTCAATACTCTCTAGATCCATGGAGAGCTCTACTCTCCCTAGCATCGGTTTTGTATGGAGACCAATTGAAACTAATGAATAAATTACCCATGCACAGTGTAAGACAGTGGAAAATTGATGAGAGAAGTTCAAAATGGGGCTGAACTTATATCGTATTCTTTCTGGTGTGTGACCGAGTGGTTCGGTTTGGTAATGGGAACTTGACAAACAATAGATGACCGACTTCAGAGAGGTTGTGCAATAGTGTGACAGCAACAAATTGACACAGTTGATGGGCCAGAATTAAGTAACAAAATCAAAACAAAACAATATTCAAGTGAAGAGTTAGGGAAATCGAAATACCCATCTGACATAGCAGACACCTTGCAGTGTCCCCCTCCCCACCCTGAAGAAGGCATCCAATTCCTGGACTGTTTAGCATTCCGCTCGGGTACTGGGTTGGGGCGGGGGGAGTGGCAAGAGCTATAGGAACTCCCATGCCAATTTGTTGTTGTGTGCAAGAATTTCATTTATGTTCACAGCAACAAAGAAACGGTAAATACACCCAAGAGAGAAGGAGGAGGAGGAGCTGCACATTTATGGAAATTATTAAGTGCAAGCAATGACCAAGTGGTTTCTTTTCTCTTTCTTTTTCCCATTTTCCTTTTCAAACAGCTTGAATGCATTTCTTGTGCGTAGATATTTTTATGGGCAATTGCTGGAATGACTGCCAGCAAAGATATTGTAATTACATTTATCTCTTATCCGACTTATGTGGAGGGTTTCTACCTTATAATTGTCACCTCAACGTCTGACTAGGCTAGAAAGTTCAAGGAATAAACGGTTAGGCAGTGATAAAAGGTGTTAAACCGCAAGTCTTTCTCCAAACAGGAGACCTTGGTTAGGGTTCTACCCCTTTGAAACGAACGACCCATGAAGCACTTTCACGAATTTAGCACAGAACACCATACATAGTACGAGTATAACCTCATTTGGCCTTGGATATTGCATCTTTGATTCTGCGTATCGCTCAATTGATCTTAATTAATGTTCATTTTAATTCGTACGTCTCTCTTTTTATGGTCTGATCTTTGTAATGCAGCACAAATGATACAATTTTGAGCTGGTTTCCGCTCGCATTCCTTGAAGCAATCATTGGGTGTTTTTGTGGTGAAACTTTACATAAATAATTGATACATTTTGACGCTTCTAATAATTGTCAGGCGGCACGTAACCCTTTTCATTAATGGCAGCAGCTGTGCTGAAATCCTTTAATGGAAACCACATCAAAAGGCAGACCCTAAACCGCAATCTAGTCCCTTAGTATCCTGGTCCTATAAATACCGCCTCAATCGTCAATGGAGAGCTCAGAACACTTTCGAAATGAAATCCGTGCAACGCAGCTACGAAAACTTTGCCGCTGTGCCCAGCATCGTCTTTCGACTCATGGGCTACAATGTGTTGGACGCTCCGGATGAGACGCGCACGCGGAGGCTGGTGATGTGGCTCTACCGCTGGATATGCACCTGCAGCCACGTCGTTTGCGTGGGATTCATGATATTCCGCATGTTGGAAATGACTACCATAGACAACGTCTCGCTGATCATACGCTATGCTACTCTGGTCACGTACGTCATCAATTCGGACACCAAGCACGCCACCGCCATGCAGCGAGACTCCATTCAGAGCCTCAATAGGAAACTAAGCGAGTTGTATCCGAAAAGTGCGCTGGAGAGAGCCTATTATCGGGTGAATGAACACTACTGGTCCCGATCATTTCTGGCCATGATTTTTTTCTACATTGGCTCCTCGATTATGGTCGTCATTGGTCCAATTCTGCAGTCGATTGTCGCCTATTTCACACAGCAGCAGTTTACCTATCAGCATTGCTATCCATATTTCATATACAACCCCGAACAACAGCCGATCTGGATCTATGTGGGCATCTATGCCCTGGAGTGGCTCCACAGCACCCACATGGTGGTCTCCAACATAGCCACAGATCTCTGGCTGCTGTGCTTTCAGGTTCAGATCTGCATGCACTTCAGTTGCATGATTCGTTCCTTGGAGGAGTACCAACCAAATCTGATGCACGAGCGGGCTGATAAACACTTCCTGGCGCAGATGGTGAACAAGCACGAATATCTGGTTCTGTGAGTGACATAAAGATGTACTGAAAATAATGCCAACTATCGAGTTTCTTGTTCTACATTAGACTTCAGAACGATCTTAATGGAATCTTTGGTGGGTCGCTGCTCTTGAGTCTCATTACAACCGCCGCAGTCCTGTGCACGGTCTCCGTGTACGTGCTTATACAGGGCCTAAACTTGGAGGGGATTACATATGTGGTTTTCATTGGCACTTCATGCATGCAGCTCTTCCTGGTTTGTAATCATGGTCAGCAGGTTCTCGATCTGGTAAGTCTTGCCATAGATAAGGGTTCCAACTGATGGGCTGTTCTCTTCCTAAGAGCGCAGACATTGGCCACGCCGCGTACAACCACAACTGGCACAATGCCTCGATAGCCTACAAGAAGTATCTGCTGATTATCATTATTCGCGCCCAAAAGCCAGTAGAACTGAGCGCCATGGGGTATATGCCGATATCGCGCGACACCTTCAAGCAGGCAAGTACAGTCCTGAAGATATTTGAGAGCCTCTTTCCATTCCATTCCATATCTGTTTCAGATGATGAGCGTGACTTACCGCGGCCTTGCCATGATACGTCAAATGATTGAGTAGAAAAGAGTGCACATATTCTTTAAACATTAAGCAGCTTTAATCGCACTACATACTATAGAAATATCCAGTCACTCAGCCTCACTTGGGATCTGTGGGCAACTTGAAGCCCACCAGATCGGCTGTATCCTTCACAGTACGCTCTCCTCGACCATGGAACTCGTGGTACAGCTCAGTATAGTTGCGCAGGCTGCTCAAGTAAGTGAGATATGTTTGGCCCAAGAAGACCGCCTCGTTGCGTGCCTTGCAGTGCTGCTGGTCCGTCGTCTCGTACTTCTTGTATTGCGCCAGTATGTAGCGGGCGGCCAAGGAGTCCTTAATGCAGCCATTTGGCGACGCCTTGCGTAGCTCGTGCAGCAGGGAGCGTAGCACTTTGGTTCCCGACATCCTGCTACAAAGATATATAGTTTAATTTGATAAAAACAAAAAAATCAAATTTATTACGTGATTGTGATGTTTATCGAAAATGTAAGAGTTATCGCAGCCGCACAGCTGTTCCTTCCATCTCAATGCGATAGATCGATGGCTATCGCACCGGAATCAGCTGTTTTTCATTCGGTAATAATTTAATTGTTGAAATGCTCCTCAGTACCCCCTCAAAACATGAATACCTATAGCACAGGTAATAATAAACATAATCTGCCTGACAAAGTGTGTCGTAAACTGATTTTTGGGTACCAACATCAACCATAGTCGATATTGCTTTAATGATATTTATAACTGTACTCCCTAGAACCAATCGACTAGATTCTGCATATTAGATGTCTCCATTGTTTGGTCCTTCTTGGAAAAACAATTTATTTATCAATTTCTTATTTAGCAGTTAACCGAACTTGTCCCATGTCCGCGTTGCGTTTACTTCCTGGGCTTGCCAACAGCAGGCTTCTGTCCAGGCTTCTTGCCAGCAGCGCCCTTAGCGCCAGCGGCTCCCTTGGGTCCGGTGGATTTGGCACCGGCCTTGCCGGCTCCTGGCTTCGTGGGCTTGCCAGTGGGCTTCTTCTTCTGCTCCACCTTGGGGGCCTTGACTGGCTTCACCAATGCCTCGCGCTGGCTCTTCAGGGCCTTGACGATCTTCTGCTCCTCGATGAGGAAGGCGCGAACGATGCGCTCGCGCAGGCAGCCGTGACAGAGAACGCCTCCGTAGGTGCGGGCGACGGTCTTCAAGCGCTTGGACATGCGTGGGCGCTCGCTGGGGCGAGAGGGGGTGATGCCCTTAAGCTTCTCCTTGCACTGGCCGCAACGGGGCACAGTCTTGTTCTTCTTCACATACTGGTACACCAGGCGACCGCCAGGAGTGCGCACACTGAAATAATAAGCATGAAATATTATTATTCAGCTTCAATGTGGTTATGTTGTGATACTAACATGCGCCTCTTGTTGGAGCGGGTGTTGTACGACAGGCGTCTTCTCAGCGTCAGGCGTTGGACCATGTTGTTGTTGTTTCTGCTGCAGACCAGAAGATTGCGTGGAGAGTGTATGCAAAAGCAGATAAATACATTATTAGTTTTTTGTGTCACTACTCGGGGGGCAGATGTGCAACTGGTTGAGGTTGATTATTTCATGCAGCTATTGCCAATTTGCGAATATTCTTTGAAAAATTTGTTAAAAGACACGTGCGTACCTTTGAGAGACAAGAAAGAAAGAAAGGTGGCAACACTGCGAACCTGGGACTTGAAGTTGGGTGCGCTGCTATCGACTAGTGCTGGAGAATCATCCAACGACATCGATGTTTCTCCATTGTGTCGATAGTTGGTTTTGTTGTGGTGCAAAAATTGTTATCAAACCGCAACAGAGATAACACATTTTATAGAGGCAAATATGAGCAAAGTAAGCAACAGTAAGTAGATATATAGTACTTAAACTACCTACTAATGAAAGCAATAAACACGCTGTAGTCATGCGTCTGGCGCTGTTGCAGCTGAAGGGCTCCAAGGACAAAACGGTCAACGTGCAAAATGCCGTAAGCAAAATAGAAGCCGTCGTCAAGGAGCACCAGCCCCGCCTGATCACGCTGCCCGAGTGCTTCAACGCTCCGTATGGCACCAAGTACTTTCGCGAGTACTCCGAAACCATTCCGGATGGCTACACCTCGCAGCAGCTCTCGAATCTCGCCAAGAAACATCAGGTGTACATTGTGGGTGGCACCATACCGGAGCTGGGAGAGAACGATGCCATCTACAATACGTGCACGGTGTGGGCGCCTAGCGGGGATCTGATAGCCAAGCATCGGAAGATGCATCTCTTCGACATCGATGTGAAGGGCGGCATTCGCTTCAAGGAGTCGGAGACGCTCTCGGCGGGCAATGACTTCACCACCATCGATGTGGACGGACACAAGATTGGCATTGGCATCTGCTATGACATTCGCTTCGAGGAGATGGCGCGTCTCTATCGGAACGAAGGCTGTGAGATGATCATCTATCCGGCCGCCTTCAATATGACCACTGGACCCCTGCACTGGGAGCTGCTTCAGCGTTCCCGAGCCAATGACAATCAACTCTTTGTGGTAACCACATCCCCGGCTAGAGATTCGAGTGCTGAATATGTGGCCTATGGCCATTCGATGATTGTTGACCCTTGGGCCAAGATCCAAAAGAGTGCCGGCGACGGGGAGGAGACTGTGGTGGCCGACATTGACTTCTCGCTGGTGGAGCAAGTGCGTCAGCAGATTCCCGTGTTCAGTCAGCGTCGACTGGATCTGTATGCCACCGCAAGGCATGGCCAATAATGCATTTAATATTTGTTGATTGTTATTGTATATAAAATTGAATAGAACTTAAATATTTTTCACATTAATTTCTTACGATTCACTAACAAATTATTGCTTTTGGTCCGACTGTTGAGCACTGTCGGCCGGAGGAGCCTCCGCTGAAGCTGAACGCACATAATGGGGTCGCTGGGCTTGGTCGAACAAAGCGCGTATGGCCTCATCGGTGGCCATCAGTGGCTGACTAATGAATTCCAATGCCTAAAGGTACGTTTCGGATAATAATTAGCAATAGATTTTTATGATCAAATGCAAGACCTACCCGAACTGCATAGTTTTCCGCCTCACAGAGCGGACTCGTGCTGGCGCTGGAAAGCTTGAGCGTCTCCTCGGGAATGCCCACTCCCGTGTGGAGCACCATTCGCTGTAGAATATTCAGATTCTCGGCACTCAGACTAATCACATCGGTAGCGGGCAGATTGAGGTAACGAATTTTGGCCAAAAACTTCAGTTGCTTCAGCATGTCCAGCTGGATCTCGCGTATCTGGTGTGTGGCATGCAGCAATTGCTTGGTGGACTCGTTCAGCATCTGATTCTTCTGCGTGAGATCGGCCTTCCAGCGTGCCAGCTCTTCGACCATAACACTACTGGCCAGAAACTTGGAGCGCCACACCTCGCATTGCCCTGCGAGAAACTCAATTTGTTCGGTGTGCGTGGTCAGATTGTTTGCTGTGTCCAGCAGGGCTCGAGCCAGCTGCAGCTTGTCTTCGGTCAGCAGATTGACGCGAGTCTGCAGATCCTCACCCACAGACGCCACCAGCAGATTCTTCAGTTCGCTGTTGACCTGCGTTTGGAATTTGTATTGGGCCTGGAAGTAGTCACGTTCCTCCCTCATTTTCGAGAGCTGCTCCTTCAGGTTGTCCAACTCCTCGCTGCTGGCATCTTTATTGTCTTTCGCTTTGGGCTCAGTGTCCAGTTCTTGGGTGCGCAGCGTGGACACTTGATCCACGAGCACACCGATGTCCAGGTTGTTTTTGTCTTGATGAATTTTATGCTTCGTCGCTGGTGCAGCAGTCATGGGGTTCACAGCACCCGGATATGGCTCATAAGGCACGAATTTCGGTGGTTTAGTCTTTTTGTGTTCTGGCAGGGGTTCGTGGTGCGGATGGACTAGCCGCGGCTTCAGCTGCACCAGCTCTCCCTTGGGCAGGGCCGGGGCCAGGCTTCGGGTAACGATTTCGGGGCGTCTATAGAGCGTATGCAGGCCCGGCAGCGGCAAATGGGAGGCATGTCCACTGCCTGAGGATGTTTTCCTACCCATCGAAGCCTCCTGGGCAACTGTGCTGTCCTTTCGCGACAACTGTGGTCGCCTGACCTTAATGTCCACATCAGAGCTTGTTGCATTTTCCACTTTTGTTGGTGCGGTCAGTTCTGGCTGCTCCATCCCGTCCCCGCTGGTGCGGCAGTCCGGGGTCTTCTCGGCATGGATAACTGTGTTCTCCGCATTCATTTATTGGCGATTTTGGCAGTGCCCCTCCCTGTATTGGCTAGAATATTAGGAATTTTTGCCAGCAAAACAAAATCGAACAATAACAATGGCAGAGTGGCCAGCGCGTCTCAAAATTTGAACGGGTGTTAAAGGAGGGTGGCCGTTTACGCTATAGTTTTTCGGTAAATTTCATCGATTACTCCGCGGTCACACTGGTTTCAACAAAAACAAATAAATAAAATAAAAAATAAAACGCAAATCGAACGGCTGCTCTGCGTGCCAAAGTGTCTTATCTGGAGTTCCTACCAAGTAGCAGCGATTGGGATTGGGTAACATCACATCCCATCCGCTAGCATGTCCGAAGTGGAGTCCGAGCTGCTTAGAAAAGTCAATGAGAAAATCGATCTGATTGAGCCCACAACCGGAAAACTATTTTTCGAGCACAAAACAGAGCTGGTTTTCTGTAGGCCGCACCTGATGCCACTGAAGACGCAGGCGCTGGAACGGCTGGAGGAAATGCATCGCGAAACTGCGCGACAATTGCAAAAGAAGCGAAACAACAAGAACATCACCGAGCCCCACAAGGAATAGTCCCCGTCATAAGAGCGAGCGGCCCGAAATGAATTAGTACTTATATTTAGTCATTAATCACAGCACACACGAACACACACCACACACGCACTCACTGAAAGCACAAATTTGTTGTTGATTTTGTTATCATGGCCTATCTGCTGACATTCGGCATTATTGCGGCCCTTTTTTTGGCCAGCATCTCGCTGTATCGCTATGGCAACATACCACGTCAGCACATCCTGGTCACTCTGTCAGTGCTGACCGCCTGGTGTTTCTCGTTTCTGATTGTCTTCACCATACCGCTGGACGTGACTTCGGTAATTATTGGACATATGACCTACCCATATGGTTGATAACAACTCACAATTGCAGACACTCTACCGGCAATGCCTGGCGGAACACAAGCTGGCACTGGACGCAGCAGACAATACCAGCACGACGTCGCCGGCCAATGTAACCCCACCGCCCGAATGCCAGGAACCATGGGGAATGGTGCCCGAGTCGGTGTACCCCAATTTGTGGCGCATCATCTACTGGAGTTCGCAGTTCCTCACCTGGTTGATTATGCCATTGATGCAGTCGTACCTTAAGGCAGGCGATTTTACCATCAAAGGCAAACTGAAGTCGGCGCTCATCGAGAATGCCATCTACTATGGCTCCTATTTGTTCATCTGCGGAGTGCTGCTCATCTACATTGCAGTCAAGGGCGTGCCCCTGGACTGGCAGAAGCTAAAGGCAATTGCCTCGTCGGCTTCGAATACCTGGGGCCTGTTCCTGCTAATCCTGTTGCTGGGCTACGCCCTGGTGGAGGTGCCACGATCGCTGTGGAACAACGCCAAGCCGGGATTCACCTTGCAATACGCTTACTTCAAAGCAGCCAAACTCAGCACGGACAAGGCGGAGGCCGAGGAGCATGTTGATGACATACTAGAGTCGCTGCAGTGCATCAGTCGGGTGGTGCCCAACAACCATGAGCTGCGCCCTTGCGTGGAGACCATCATGCGAAAGGTTCCAATCGAGTTGCAGGAGCGGGCCAGCAGGAATTTCTCCCGCACTGGAGGCAGCGGCATGGGAGCGACTAGCTCCACCATTTTGCCCTCGGAAAAGGCGCTGGTTCGCATCCACAAGCAGGTGATCAAATCCCTTCAGACGCTGCAGCGCACTGAGGCGCTGTGGAGTGTGCAGGTGAAGACAGTCCTGCACCTGGAGGATGTGGACAGGAACATACACTCAGCCGAGCGGCGCTTCAAGTCGGAATTTCCGCGACAACGCACACAGCTGGAGAGGATATGCTACAGTGCCACATTGCAGTGGTATTGGGAGTGTCTACTGAAGGCGCCGTTCCTCAAGACTCTCTGTGTGGTCACGGCTACCATGTCCGCCATGGTGGTGTGGAGTGAACTAACCTTCTTCAGCCGCAAGCCAGTGCTCTCCATATTCGCCAATGTAATATATTTGGCGAAGGAAAGCTACGATTTCTTTACCATTGAAGTATTCTCCATGGTGGTTCTGTGCTACTTCTTCTACTGCACCTACTCCACCATTCTACGCATTCGCTTCCTGAATCTGTACTACCTGGCGCCCCACCATCAGACTAATGAGCACAGTCTCATCTTCAGTGGCATGCTCCTGTGTCGCCTTACGCCGCCAATGTGTCTCAATTTTCTGGGCCTAATACACATGGATTCTCACATTATACCAGAGGTGAGTGCGGGATGTCCATTTAAATGAGGAAAACTTTAATTTTTGATTGATTTTCGTGACAGCGAATGATGGAAACATATTACACTCGAATCATGGGGCACATGGACGTCATTGGCATCATCTCGAACGGCTTCAACATCTACTTTCCCATGTGCATGCTGGCCTTCTGTCTCTCCACGTGGTTCAGCCTGGGCAGTCGGGCGCTGAACGCGTTGGGCTTTCAGCAGTTCCTGCAGAACGAAACAATTGCCACGGAGCTGGTGCAGGAGGGCAAGGATCTGATTGCACGCGAAAAGCGAAGGCGACAGCGCGCCGAGGAGGCCATGGCCAGGCGCCGTGACTTCAATCGACCCGATCCGACCGTGGCCAGTAATGATTACATGAATAAGTATCGGGCAGGTGCGGGAGCTCTGGCCAGCAGTCGCACCCCAGCCGACGGACTATTGCGCGACGGTGACGGCAGCTTTGACTATGCTGCCGTGGCCTCATCCTCAGCACTGGGCGTGCCCCGTTCCCTGTCGGAGGAGATCAATGACCGCTTTGGCGTGAGCACCCAAGTGGGATTCAGGGGCACCAATGACTTGGATCAGGACTACGAGGCGGAGCACGAACGACGCATTGTGGGGCCCCCGCCACGAGGTCTCTTCGATGATGTTTAGGCAAAGCAATGGCTTAATTTAATTTAATGTATCTCAATGTCTGCAATGTTCCATAAATAGTTTCGTTGACGCTTAAGTATTGTCTGCTTCCCCCGTCTACCCAAGGGTAGAGCGGTAACATAAAACCTCAAAAACAAAAAAAAAGTATTGTCTGCCGCTGCTGTTCCTCTCACTGGCACTGCACCATGCACGCCATTTAATAAATTAAAGGCTAAAAACAAATTATATTATTGCTATAAAACCGCAGCAATTCGCGAAGATTTACGTTTACTTTTTATGTTGTCGATATTTCGGAGTAGTTGTCATCTTCGCTTTTCTGTGAGCTGCTCTCCTGTTCTGGTTTCGTTTCCGAGGGCGATAGCTTTGATTTCTTTTGTAGACTTGATATGGGATGTGGAGTGATACGCTTGCGACCGCGCATATAGGCAGCTCGCGAGGTCGAAGGAGTCTGCAAATATGCATACCCAAGCCGAATTTTCAAGAAAAGTTGTCAGGAAGGAGTTATTTTTCACGTCTCCCAGATCTGTGCGTCAAACAAAAAGTAATAAAAAACCGACAGTTTTATGCGCCAGATTTATTATTTATGTATTTTTTATGTGTTTCTAACAATTGAAGCAATAATGTCACAGGTTTTTGACAGCAAATGCAATCCGAAAATAAAAGAAAAGTGTTAAAAATAAGAGTATGTGTCTGAAGCAGAGTCAATGTAAAGTAAAAGAAAAGAGAATGTTTTTGGGCTTGAGTAGGTGTGAGGTGTAAAGTGTGAGGTGTGATGGTTAGACCCAACCAGAGTAGCGCTTGTGTAACATTTTAGTGTAAAATCAGGCGAGGCATCAAGTGTGCAACAAGAGCAGCAAGTTATTTGTGTTGCATTCGAATTAATTGATCGATATGATGTGTGTGCATTGCTTGATATGATTATGTGTAAATTCCGGCGGTGAGTGCAAAGTGTGTGATTGAAGCGGACTTATTCATCGCCGCCACCCTCCTCGTCTTCGTCGAATTCGCCCTCTTCGTCTGCAGTAGCCTCCTGGTACTGTTGATACTCCGACACGAGATCGTTCATGTTGCTCTCCGCTTCGGTGAACTCCATTTCGTCCATGCCCTCGCCAGTGTACCAATGCAAGAAGGCCTTGCGGCGGAACATGGCTGTAAATTGCTCGGAGACGCGCTTGAACAGCTCCTGGATGGCCGTTGAGTTGCCAATGAATGTGGCAGACATCTTGAGACCGCGAGGCGGTATATCGCACACAGCCGTCTTGCAGTTATTGGGTATCCACTCGACGAAGAAGCTGCTGTTTTTGTTCTGAATATTCAGCATTTGCTCGTCCACCTCCTTCATGGACATGCGACCGCGGAAGATGGCGGCCACTGTAAGGTAGCGACCGTGACGAGGATCGCAGGCGGCCATCATGTTCTTGGCGTCGAACATCTGCTGTGTGAGCTCTGGCACGGTGAGGGCGCGGTACTGTTGCGATCCTCTCGAGGTCAACGGAGCAAAGCCCGGCATGAAGAAGTGCAGCCGGGGGAAGGGCACCATGTTCACTGCCAGCTTGCGCAGATCGGCATTCAACTGGCCGGGGAAGCGCAGACATGTGGTCACCCCGGACATGGTGGCCGACACCAAGTGATTCAGATCTCCGTAGGTGGGGGTCGTTAGCTTCAAGGTGCGAAAGCAGATGTCGTACAGCGCCTCGTTGTCGATGCAGTAAGTCTCATCGGTGTTCTCCACGAGCTGATGCACACTTAGGGTGGCATTGTAGGGCTCCACCACAGTGTCGGACACTTTGGGGGATGGCACCACCGAGAATGTGTTCATAATACGGTCGGGATACTCCTCGCGAATCTTGGAGATCAGCAGCGTACCCATGCCGGAGCCGGTGCCTCCCCCCAGCGAGTGAGTCAGCTGAAAACCCTGTAGGGGAATTGGTTTTATTTATCTGACTTTACCCAGCCCCCGAGGGGCATTTTACTTACCTGCAGACAGTCACAGCCCTCAGACTCCTTGCGCACCACATCCAGCACCGAGTCCACCAGCTCAGCTCCTTCCGTGTAGTGTCCCTTGGCCCAGTTGTTGCCCGCCCCAGACTGACCAAAGACAAAGTTGTCGGGGCGAAAGATCTGGCCAAATGCCCCTGAGCGCACCGAGTCCATGGTGCCGGGCTCCAG